CTAACAAGCATTTTTTTTTATAATCTTGAATTTTCCGGGACTCTATTACAATGGGATTGCTATTTTAAATGCATTCAGTTTTCTTGATTCAAGGTAAAAACTCTTCGGATAAAATTGGTATTGAATCATAGCATAACATTAATTATTCTCAAAATAATATAAAAGTTGAATAACAAAACATGCATATTATCCACAATATTCTCTATAAAGACGCATAAAGATTTTTTCCATTCTTTAAGGATCGACATTTTCGACAGTAAACTGATAAGTACGCAACCCTCCCTTAAAAAATGAATGCAATTGTATACCAAAAATACGCAATAATTCAGGAAAAAACTTAATTATAACGAAGTTTTCTAAGAACAAATAATTACCTATGAAACAGATATACAAAAAAAATTGTGTATAATGTATTTTAATTTTTTCTATATAATTTATATTCTTACCTTATTTAAGTTTTTATCACTACACTTTATAGCAAAAGTATTATGCAACTAGGAAGCATATTAGGATATTAGGAATTATGCAACTTAATCGCTGCGGCTGAAGTATCTTTTGAAGGGAATCGTAAGAGGTTAGGACATGCCCTTGAAATAGCTTACAAGCATCGTATATGTTACGACTAACTAAGTAGGCATAATGACATTAATTTGTAGCGAAATTATCATAAATTCTAATTATTCTTACTAAGCAAGTTGGTCTCAACTTTGGTTATCATAAAAAGCAAAGACATAAGTTAAACCAGCCCTATATCAGTAAAATAGCAGAAAAATCCATACGGTACGGTTTTTACTGGTAACATTGTAGTTATAAATACACTTACAGAAATATTTGTTCACTCGTCTGATTTTTCATTATTTATCTAAATTTTCACTCGATAAAACCACAAATATTCACACTTAGGTTCTATTGTAGAAGACATACACTTTTAAACCTCAGGAAGGATAACAGTTTTGCATGTGTTAAGTACAAATTCATATACAAGACATATATCAAGGACACATCCTTGCTTGTATAGGATAACACGAGAGGCCAGATGGTATTACAAGGAATGAACATGTCGTCCGAAGTTTAGCTTTAGAACACAGCTTTAAGTTACCCTGATAACAAGTAAATGACAAATGCGCACATGCTTTAACTAGCTGTATGTTACATTTTCTAGTAATATGAAAATTATTTCTGGTATATCTTCTTACTCAGAATCCACAAATACTTTAAGCTCTTTGATATGGGTAGTTAATTTAAATTAGCTTTATTTCTTAATCACTGTAAACTACCAAGTACTTTTATACGAAAGCTTTGTAAAATCTATACTTTTATCACGTGTAAATGATAAAGGTAAAAGTAAGACTATGAATATTTATAGTTGACAAGGGCCAGTATAAAATTATCTAACAATACAATATTATATTTATAGAAGTATATATAATTCCAGCTGCAATACTTTCTTTTTTTAATGTACATAATACAAACGCATAAATTGAATATACACTGTATATCTTTCTGGCCCTCCAACGGTAATAGTTTCTTCTCTACAAAAAAATTTTCTAAAACTTATAGCAGGAAAAGACATCCAGTATATGATACCAAGTTACTTGTATAAAAAATGGTAACAGTTAAGTTAAATTTAGATTGAAAGTAATCCTCTTATTCACTCTTCCATCTTTTGTCTTATTTATTTGTTTTTGTACAGTAATCAATAAAATACTCACTTGCAGTTAACATGATTTATTACTCAAAGTAAAACAGATAAATAAATATCAGATCGTACGGATTTGGTATATAGACGTATCAAATATTCCTGTCAAGACAATTTGGTTTGGCTTGCTTATTTACTGGTTATGATTTTGGGACGACGTTCATTTTTTGTATTGGTATTAAAAGAGGTCTTCGCTTGAGAAATATTTACTTTGTTCAGCATTTAACCTGCAAATTCAGCTAAAATACCGCCTATTTTTGGGAAACATATAGATTTTTGTAATGATCCCAAACATATATATTGACTATACATGATTGACAATATTAACTGTTTAAAACGTCGTAACTCTTAGGAGCTAACAAATAACCAACTATGAATATTTACTTTTAGTTAAACCTCTGTATGTAAAATTAAGTTTTTTTGTTTTATTATAACGAAAAAAATTAGTCATAATTTCTATTAACCATAGTTCTATAATCATGTCCGTTGTGAAAGTAAAAAAACTTTCACCCAAAGGTGCTTAATATTATTTAATTGTTCTGTATTAATAAAAACGGGTTATCTAGCAAAAATAGTGGTACCTTGGTATTACATGGAGGCCTCCCTAACACAACTCGCTGTGGATGCTATGTTACGATTGGTTATCATAAATAGAAATTATGACTCATCTGGTGACGCTTGATTAATTGCGAAACGAAGAAAGTCTAACAAACATAGTTATGATAACCCGACCTAAAATGGCCAACCGTCACAGCGCGCATTGGTAAAAAATGTGACCTCTGTATAGTACCAAAATACAAAAATATTATTAATAATACACTTTGATCTGTTTCAGAAGAGCTGTCAGCACTTTTGACAAATAATGAATCCAAAATTATTATTTTAAATTTAATAGTAATGGCCAAAATATGAAAATATTACTTGTGCTGTTTGTAAATGCCATTCTACAAAGATATACATGATATCTGTGTACACATTAAAATTAAGCTATTTGTTTTTTTCTCGGAGAAAAAGTAGTAGTATTTTAATATTTCAATGCAATTACGGAAATACATAAAGCGTCTTTGTCAAACTTTATTATTCATTGAAAGGGAAAGTTTATTTCTACCTGGATGTTTTCCACTCTCTACCCACATAACGTGTATCTTTTGTTAACAACCCTTCAAGATTTATGGGCTCACACGATAATGGAAACTAACATTAAATCCTCGTCAGTGAAATAAAGGTGATAACGGATGATACATTGTTTGTAAAACGTCTACAAAGAAAGTTTGTTCAACAAGTCATTAGTAGAGATACCGTAATGACTGAAGTTCCCCTGAGCAAATATCGTATTCACAAATGTTTGATTTAATATCTCTAATGAATTCCTAATAAGGATCACACACTCTCTAAGTTCTTTATTCTCTAAGTTTAACCAAAAACATATATTTATCATTATCGATATTTAAATTCCACTTATGTTTTTACTATAATTTAAGCATAAATAATAAGTAATAATATTCGGCAATAACACGATAATCTGGTTAATATCTTTTTGAAAGAAATTATTTTGGTGCAATATTAAATCGGTACCGAATGATCGAATGAATATTAATGGAAGGGATGTTTTTTTACTGTTACATGAATGAATGTGTAGGCTAACAGTAATATTTTGCATTCAACAAAACTGAAGGTATTACTTTTTGTTAAATGTCCTTTAATAAAGGAATAGCTCTTCCCAGCTAATATATGTTTGTTCTATATTTTGTTAGTAGAATACAGCTTAACATTAGTTCAGTTCGACCAAGTCATAGAACATCTACCATAATGTTCACAAAGTCATAAAGTTGATGAGTGGGATAGCCTATACACCAAGACCTTCATGATAGATGGCCCACGCTACGTCAACATCCGAGAAACATGTTGCGGAAACATAGCAGGATATTAAATAATGATTCTTTTTACAATGTACTGCACAAAAAAAATTAGGTCCAATGCAAACACTTGTTAAAAACACGAATATTAGAACATAAACCGTATGGATCATATACATAAGCAAATGATGTCACTGGCATGAAAAAAAAACAATATTAATCTTTACTTTAATGGAATTGTTAATGGAATTGGTAACGTATTTTTTATGTTTACGATTCATACCAGCTCTATTAAAATATTTGTGGTTAAGTATGTTATACTAAAATGAAATACGAAAACTTCAACAGATAACATATTATTTTTATTGAATGTATACTTCAGTATCTAAAATTCAATGATATCATCAACTATATAAACCTATTTCTCACATAAACACGTTAAACCACACACTGAATTGTCTGCCAGGACCTTTTACAATTTATAATTATACAAGAATGAAAGTGTACAATCAAAGTTTTTCTTATTAAACTATTATATTATTATGTGTATATTCCCTTGCAGTTTTTTTAACATTATTATAATATTATACACTAATTGAGCAGTAAGCCAATATATTGTTGTAGAAAAACTGTTTTTTTTGCAAATTTTCTCATATAGGGAATAAGCTACTACCGTAGTACTCATGGTAAGACCTGGACCCGGGACCGATTTTTTTTCGTTTTGAGGTCCCTAGAGGCCAAAAATAGCATCCGTTCAAATTCATTTATATATATATATATATATATATATATATATATATATATGTGTCCGTTAGTGCGATAACTCGAGCAAAAATGATCCGATTTGGATGAAATTTGGTACAAACGTGTAAACCTACGTTTATTCGAACGAGTTCGCGAACCAGCATGATCGGACCATGGGAACGGGGGTTTATGGGGGCTTTTATGGGGTAAAAATGGGTTTTTCCCATTTTTGACCGAAAAAACTTAAATTTTTGCAACTTCTTTCCAAACCATTTTGTAGAGCTTAAAAAAACAAATAATTTAGTATATTGAAGCGTTATAATGCGCCTAATGGTTACGGAAAAAAAAAAATTGTAAATTTAAAATTCCCATGTTATTCTTATGGAGGATAAGTAAACTGTTGTAGTTTGCTTATTTATTTACATATTTTGCCCAAATTTGGAAAATGTTTTTATTTCTTACTAACTATTACATTTTACATAAAAAAAAAACACTTTAACCCTCCCTGTTGCAGCAAACCTAAGTATGTGTTAAACTGATTTGATTTAAATAGGGAATAAATGTGATATTTTTAAGGAGACATTTTAGTGTAAATCCAATCAGGCAAATAAAAATTCGCTTAGTGTGCAGGTTTGCTGCGGCGGGGGTATTTACGTTGGTCTTCGTTTTAATAGACTTCGTTTATTTTCCTTCTGTTTTAGCTGTCTCAACCGCGCAGACCTCGTGAAGGTTCATGACGGTCGCAGCGCTGTAGCTCCAGTCATAACAGTTCTGTGCAACGAAGCCGCGTCATTGGAGGTAACCATCACAGACTTACTGTTATAAATAGTATAAAATCAACACGGGTGAGAACTAATTAACGAAAAAAACTACATTACACAGTAGTTAGCATATTTTGGTATTATGTAACATAAGACAGACATTGCAGTTTTACTGCGAACATAAAACATCCGTTTGAGTTATAAGTTGTACAATGAAAAACGTCTTATCTGAATACTACGTAACAATCCATTTTCTTATTAAGCACATGAACTAACTACTTCGTCATTTCATAACACTTTATTCAGAAATGAATTACAAAATTAAAGGAGAAAACCCTCACTCAATTCCTTAATAAAATGATATAGGAAACATCTTTTTTTTTATACAGAATTATCATTGAAAATTGTAACTAGTATGCTAAAAAAAATGAACGATTGATATTATATGATGTATTTCAAATTTTTGACGGTTAATATTTAAATTCATAAAGAATCAAGTCATTCGTTTTATTTCCCTAAAATTAATTTTCTAGGTCCTTTCGACGGGTCAAGACTTGTACATAGAGTTCGTCTCAAACTCCGATTGGCCCGGCCAAGGGTTCAAAGCGACGTTCCAGTTCCAACCCCTAGAGCCAGGGACTACTAGCGATACTCCACACACAGGTATGCTTTGTCAGCTTAGTCACTTTGACCTTAGTCATTGGTCTACTGGGATAAACTGACAGGTCTCCTATACATATTTCTTTGAATTTTTATTTTCTTGTAATAATACCTTCGGTTTTTAATTCAATAACGATTATAGTAGGTCTAATAACAGTTAATGAAAATAATTTTGCTCAAATGTCTTGCCCTAAACATGTATTCTTTGGTAATAGGTCAGTTTTATTGATATTAAAGAGTTCTAACACTCCAATATAGAGGTTCAACATTTTTATTAGTTTTATAAGGTTTCTATTGTTCTGCAATATGTAGGTCAATGCAAAATATGGAAAAACAATATGATTCATAAATAGTAGATTTCGTTAAATATAGACTAACTTGAGAATTCGTTAATAAGACGTAACTTGATTGAATGTTTTTTTTTTTTATAAAATATATTACTCTTTAATTTTAAACCAATCATCTGTTTAAAAATTGAAGTACATTAAATAGCAGTAAACCTAATATAAGTACATTAAGTTCATGAAGTACATAAAAAATTTAATTGAACTTCATCGGTAAATATGGAATGTATCCCAACTAACAGTACCAATGGTAAATCAATTACATTAACTACAAACACTATCGATGATAATGACAAGTTAATAAGTTCAATTTGTTAACTAGTTTACTACTAAACGAAGTTATAGGACTTGTATACAAATAAAGTAGATACAGATAAAGTTCCCAATTTCTCAAAGGAAACTTTAATTTCGAACAAACTGAGGAAGAAGTCCACTCAAATCGGGAGTGTACAAGTTACTTTGTTCTATCAAACCAGTGGTGTCTATTTCCAATAAACCAACAAAGTTCCCTTTGAAAGTTTGCGTTTTCACAATTGTCTGCCAGTCCAATACAGCAGTTCTTCAAATTCCTTTTGAAGACTTTAGATTGAAATAGTTTAGGGAAGCGGGAAATGAATGATTTACTTTCAAAAAACTATGAAACCTTTCCTAAATGTAATGTCATATTAACTATTAAATATAAACAAACTCTCTAGAGTATAAATGATTCATTTTTCTTTTTGTATTAGTCGTCTATCAATCGCAGTTTTCTTTAAAAAAATCCCTTACCACGCTTTTTTCTCAGAGCGCTGGCTCAAGCCATGATAGATTTTCAAATTACATCTGACTAGGCCTAGGTAATATGACATTATCATATGGATAAAACACATTAGTGTTTTGTTAGCATTAGAACTCAGAGCCTCAGGGACCGAAGACTCACGTTCTACCACTAGACCAGCTCTCTCCCCCTATACTATACTGATGCTATTCCATATTGACAGCCGAATGATATCTAATAATAACGGTAAATGAATTAAGAATGATGGTGTTAGGAATTTCACATTCCGATACCCTTTCTTACCTCGTTTATACTCAAATTCAAAGAATAACAGGTGTCATAAAATATTTTCAGTTCTTCGCAGATGTGTATACAAAGTTTAAAAAAAAATTAAGATAAATGACAAATTTTTGTAAAAATACTTACTTAATCCGGACCGCTTCTACCAATCGGTGTCGATTTTACAGGGCGCTTCCATCTCTTTCTATCCGCAGTGATTGGTAAAAAAAAAAAGATATATTTATGACAGTGGAAGAAGTGAAATAGAAGAGAAAGGCAGTAAACCATTCCCCAATAACTTAGCAATCATTTCCTCGTTTTCTCGATAGTAAATCTTTCTGTACCCTGTCATTTTATTGATCTTGCCTAATGGTTCGAGAGTGAACTATTCGTTTTGTCAAATAAAGAATTATATTCGTAACATTAAATTGGGATTGATAAATTGTTATTCAATGAGCATCATCGGTACAACAACAGGTTTTCAAATAATACAATAGTTCATCCCATAATTTAACCAATTAGGTTACGTGATTGTATAGTAATTAAACGCTGTGATTAAATAGGACAATTTAAATTCGATGCCAATCATTTAGTTTTTAATATGAATTATAAAAGCATGGAAGAAAGGTTTACTTATTATGTGGTAAAGAATTGTTTTGTAATTCATATCTTTCGTAATACTATACAAATAAAACTAAATATATTCAAAGGTAACCATTTATTTATGCGGACATTTTATTTAAGTTTGTGTGTAAAGATATCTAATTAACTCTCTTGCATTGAACACGTAATGTATAAAAAAAAAGATTAATTCTATGAGTGCAATGTGCAAATTAATCATTTGGCAAATGAAAATCAACTAAATACGCCCCCTTAGAGATTATGACAATGACAGCAATACATTGTTTTGCTTTTAACGTAATCACCATTTGACCTCCCCAAAGCGATATTAATTTTTCATGGGATACCAATAACAATAAATCTTATATTTGATTTTATACTAGGAATATTTTATTTTCAGTAACTATACTAGCTTCATGGCATTTTCAGTTTGTTGGATAACATTTAGGTTTTTACAGGGCATTTTGATCAATTGGATGAATCAACGTTGAAACACAATAACCTGATAATATTTTTGTTAAATTAATTTTGGATTTAGATTAATATATTTAGGGAAGCGGGAAATTAATACTTTACCATAAAAAGTTGTGAAACTGTGATATAGGTTTTTTTTTTATATATATATAAATCATTAACAACACACAATCGTTCTGTAAACTATAATTTTAGGGATCTAGCCTAGTAGTTAGAGAAAAAAATATTTATTTTGTTAAATAAATCATTTTTATATTAACATTAAATCCAAAATAACATTTAATTTTTGTATATTATCTTGTAACGCTTGATGATGGCTATTGCTGAGCGGAAACTAGTTGCTACCGCTACCATTTGCATTACATAAAATATAGGTTAAATCACTTATATTGCAAAATTAATACATTATTATTCAATGTGCATCATCGGTACAACAATAGATTTTTAATTCTTCAAGCGTTCAGGCAATTAGCTTACATGATTATAAAATAGTCCACTAACTCAATACATATTTAATGCATTTTATGGCTATTCATCTAAAACAGTTTGGTCTGATATTCATACTAATGTTTTTGTGTTGTAGTTAACATCATCAGAATCATCAGAAAATCTTTATTGTTTCATATTTTTTTACAATCTTTTACACAGAGTACTTAAGAATAACTTAGATTAACTAACTCACACACTTATTTATAGCTATGAAACAATTCATCCCTAGGTCAAAGACCTGTTTGGGATGTTCTATTACGAAAAAACACATATAAAAACAGCTCAAAAGATGAGACATCTAAAACTACAATGTTAAAAATAACTAGACCGGTTTAAATATGCTCCTTTGAATGGATGTAAGCAACCTTACCGAACTTCGGAATTCATTTACAAGTTATTTTACAAAACAACATTTATCAATTTATTAGTGGTAAATCTTTGTTCAGTGATAAATGTGCCATACAACTTATTATGACCCATTTTAATACCCCTCGCAAGACTAAGTACATTTAACCAAGACATCACTATTATCTATATGTTCAATGCAATTTGTTTGATTCCGCTAGCGCTGTGAAATCAATTTAAACACATTCATAAATTAAATCGGCGTCTGTTTTGCATCAGTAATTAAGTGTTTTCTTTAATTTTTCTTTGTTTTCAAAACTGTAATTTCTTTCGGTTCAATAACGACTCACTCTCACACGCGGGTTTTCCCATGTGGATTTAATTTCGTTTATTTATATTTTATTAATCGCAGAATATATTTTTTTAATTAAATATTTTTAAAATACTTGTAATAATGGATATTTTATATGAAATCAAATAAATGTTGATTTGATTGTATTATAAATAACCATATGAATCGTCATTGTTCCAGGACATCGGTTTGTAAACAGCTGTAGCCCCTTAACTAAATCTGTAACAATGCCTGTGAATAAATACTACTGAATACGTTTCCTCGTGTTTGAAAAGTTAAACATTTTTCAGACTTTAACTTTTTGAAACTCAACATTTCTTTATTCAAAGAAAGATGCAGAAAAAAGGTTAAACCTTACTTTTGTGAGATATGGCGAACTTCTCCCTCGCTTCTAATAAAATACAAGAACTGATGATGTAGAGGATCTCAAAGCTGAAGCTCACATTTCTTTTATTAGTTCAATGACGAATCGTCACAAGCGAACATCATAAGATTCTTCACGTTTCCTTTTTCCTTTTTTTAAAATATATCTAATTTTACATTGCAAAGATTACTTCTCAAATCCCTGTGGATGATACAATATTGTTTATTGCAACGTTTTTATGTGTATATTTTCAACATTGTTAAATATAGATTTTAAACAGCGTGAAAACTTCATTGTTGTTGAGGATTTGAAAACAAATTTAAATAATGTGTTTATATTATTACTACCTGCCTATTTTCAATATATGCATTCCAAGATACTTTTACCGCACCAACAATTATTTTTCACAAATTTTTTTAGATATCAGCTTAGTATAATAAATATGTATATAACATTTTCCTACTTTATAAAACCATAAAGTTAACTTATATAAATAAGCTTTGTATGTAAGAATTGTATAAACTAGCATAATATCCAATGGTTGGCGTGAAAGAACAATTGGTATAAAATAAAACTCTTTTAACAAATAATTATAGATATCATAACATTGAACTAATACTAAATCAGCAGTCATAATTACGACTTCAATATACTTAAATCATTCTTGTAACACCAAACAGAAATATTATTATAACAAAATTAATAATAAACAAGTTTTTATGTAATAAATAAGAAAAAATCTATTTGTATAACATCAATTTATAAAGGTTTACACTTTTAAATTAGAGATAAAACATATTTTTTCTGTACCCAATATCAGTTTAATATTTAGGCAATTCTTTTATTAACAGCACTTGTTAAGTTACAAGTCGCGACACATAGGGAGCAGCACTACTTTCCTTGATCACTACTGCTGCCTAGCGGGCAACGCCTGAACTTTTTGAACACAGATACTGCATAGACCTTTTTATTTTATTA